CATCAGAAAAAGGTCGAGATATTCACTACTAGACATGTGTGTGTGTGTGTGTGTGTGTGTGTGTGTGTGTGTGTCTGTGTGTCTGTGTGTATGTGAGAGAAGGAGAGAGAAAAAAAAGCAGGGAGAAATAAAACGGGAAACAAAGTGATTTCTTCACGAAGATAGAGGTCGGATGGATGATCGGAAAGAGTCGGACATCACGTGCACGGTTTATCCGTAATGAGTTTCTCCTATTAACAAATATACAGCAACGACGTGTACTTTTGGGGGGGAAAAAAAGTAAAGAGTTATTGCAATATGAGATTTAGCTTTAAATTTTCGTCTGCATGGGTCGCTGGCTTGAGATTCGAACCAAAAAAAGAAAAAAAGAAAAAATAAAAAAGCAACTCATGATCTGGTTATTGACGGGTACACGTGCCTATAAAAAAAATTGAACCACGGCCACCCATTTCAATAAAATCAAAAATCGGCCATTGAAAAAAAAAAAAAAAAAAAAAAACATTACACTGAGCAGCTCTTAAGAGACGGGGAATGGGGAAGTGACAGAGAGAATACGAAAACACGTAACTTTCGAAGGCTGCAGCCAGCCTCACACAACTTCCAATTGAATACACCCCTGCGACTGCGCGTGTGTTTCCGTGTGTGTGCGCCTGTGCGTGTGTATGTGTATGTGTATATGTCTGTGGGAGAAAGAAAGAAAGAGGAGGGACAGCGGGTACCGTCGTCGATAGGATGCTATGAATCCCCTGCGGTCATGACCGCGGGGTCAATCTCGGCCGGCGGTTGGGATCCCGACCACCGAGGTCGGCTGCGGGCGAGGGCTACGGTCGGAAAACCCCGACATTTTTAACTCCTAGGATAATAGGCCAAAAAACAAACAAAAAATACAGCGTTTTAGGTTTTTTTGCGCTCTACAACCGTATATTTTTTGTTTTATTGTTTGACTTCGTTTTGGATTTAAAGAAAAAAAATGAAAAACCGAAATCCCTCAGGCAAAGGTTCTTCACTTTATTCTTTTAGTAAGAAAAATAAAGGATTTTGTTTGTTTTTTTATCTCAAATTTGGTAGCGAGTTTTGATATGACCCCAGAGCAAAAGTTGTTCAGTTTATTTTTTGGCATAACATATATGGTTTTCAGATTTTTCTGAATTATTATTATTATTAATTTTTTTTTTCTTGACCGCGGGCTTGCGGTCGCGACCGCAATCCGCGGTCGTGCCCGAGGTGACCGCGGCCGCGGGGGATATATAGATAGGATGACCAGAATCCAACCAATTTACCGCTACAGAGAGAGAGAGAGAGAGAGAGAGAGAGAGAGAGAGAGAGAGAGAGAGAGAGAGAGAGAGAGACGGAGGCAACAGGTGACTCTCCAATCTCGGAAAAAACAGATTGCTGCGAGGGGGGGATCTCCAATCTCAGGAAAGACATCGCGCCAGAGAGAGAGATCAGAGGGAAATAGGAGAGAGAGAGAGAGAGAGAGAGAGAGAGAGAGAGAGAGAGAGAGAGAGAGAGAGAGAGAGAGGGAGCGAGTAGGCGAGCTGCGGCCTCACAGCTCGTGCAACCAGTGCAAGTAGACACATACGTTTACAAAACACGCAAGAACGAGTTTCACAACGAAAGCGACGACTTGTTTGATTACTGCAAAAGGAGCAAACATGCGGTCCCTCGACCGGTTTCACCCGTCCGCACGAGCATCATCAGGAAGGTGACTCCAAGGAGTTTTCATGCTAAAAAAGGGGAACTATGGCCTTGCTCCCCAACATATATAGTCTTGTTCCTGTGGTTCCTACCCGTTTCCTTTACCGATCCTCCATCTCTGCTGCCGCCAAGATCCAAAATGAGGTACTGTTTACCCGCCGGTCAAGACTCACCTCTTCTAACCGTTGTCGTTGCTGCTCTCCTTCCTTATCTAAATAAGTTCACGTATCGATCATTATGTCTGCCCAGATACAGTCACGTTTTCCCTTATGTTACCTCTGCCTGTGTACCCGAAAACCAGGTGCTATTTTTGTTGCCTGGAAGCCCGGTATTTGCGAAACGATATCCGAATCCAAAAGTTAGCTAATATTTTCCTGCCTTAGCCTACGTCCGTCAAAAGGTCATCCAAAACCAGCCAAAATAACTAAATAAATAATAAAATGCAGGGTACCCAATCCCGCTGGGACTTGGCCGTGTCAGGCACATACCCATCTTGTGCCTGCGACCCTTCAAAATTTCCCCTCCCTCTGCAGGCCGCGGTGTCCTTTACTCCCTAACTTGTTCGCTGTGGTCTCTCAGTGGTGATCGTACTTCCCTCCAGCCCCTCTTTTCGCTTTAACCATGTCTGCCGACGTTCTCAAGGCTTACATTAAGGTTTGCAGTGCCTGGGTAGGCACAACTTTGGTCAAATAGGCCAAAGCACCGAGAGAGACCTCCGGGGGTTAGCCCCGGAGGTCTGCTTCACATATTGCGAACCCCATGGCTCCAAGCACCAATTGCTTACTCGATGTGTGGTCCCAAAGCTTCTTCAGCGTAGTAGTCAACACCGCCTTCTTTACTGCCTTAACCGAGTATGATTCATAATCTTGCATCGTTTGGAAAGTCAGTCTTTCCTTATTGTTTAGCAATTCGGTTTTCTTAGTCATCGGTGTGTAGAGGATTGCTACTCCCTATCATGTGGCCGCCCACGAAATCCCATGTGAAACCATTTTCATCCTTTCGAACAATCTCAAGGTGCTTATCATAGATATTCTTGAACCTTTTGAATATTTGTTTCTGCTATCCTTCGTTCTCAACCTCCGCCGTGAGCCCTACTACGATAGTGATATCATCTACAATCCGCCAGCCTCCTACTAATCTCCTTTCGTTCCCCAGTTCTCTCAAAAAACGCAGTTCAGCCATCGCACATGTGATGGATGCTAATATAGGACTCGTCGATTTTCCGAGATTATTTTCTCCTCTACAGTAGACGCATGAGTTCCTAGGAGTAGATGCCCTGTCGTCTGCGCCTCTAGAGATCGAACTCCTGGCCGCCTTGGGGTCAGGCGACTTGGGATATGGTTCTGATGAGACGCCATATCCCCCTCTCTCATTCCGACCGCGCGGATCGTTGCGGCGGTCTCCTCCAGACCCTCCTTGCTCATACCGCCCGCGCGAATCATTCCGGCGGTTCCCCGAGTCATATCGTCCTCGTGACTCATCGCGTCGGTCCCCTCCGTTGTACCACCCCCGCGACTCGTCGCGCTGCTCTCTCTCATCTCCCCCGCGCTCAAACCGTCCGCGCGACCCATCTTGTCGTTCCCAGTCCCGATCTCCTCTTTCATATCTACTTCCTCTGTAGCCATCTCGATCCGACCTCTCGTATCTGTCGTCCCTATATAGGGATTGCCCGAACCTCAAACGGGCAATAGATGAAGGACTTGTCGTGTTTGACGACCGCAAGTACGTCAAGTGGGCAGATGATCTGGGAGATGTATCGATGTTCCCTTCGATGAAGGAGAATGTCGAAGCAAGGAGAGTAAAGACGAGTAAAGGAATGGAGTCGGTCAGGAGCCAGAGCATCAAGATAACCTTTGAGGGGGATATCGCGACCACACCCATAAGGGTGGCAGCCACCAAGTCGGCAAGAGGGTCTACATCGAAGAAGACTGACACGGATTACGWGATGGCGGAGAAGGAYGGGCAGCGGGTCGATGGAGAGGAGGTTATCCTTTCGCCGCGAAAGYGGGGAGTGAAGAAGTTCTTAATGAAGAGTTCGCTGGACGAGATTGACACGGTCGAGCCACTGAGGCGGGCCCTTCGGCAACCMATGCAGTGCTCTATTCTGGAGTATCTGGCGGCATCGAAGCCGGCTCGTGATGAATTACAGATGATCATGCGAAAGACTCGCATACCTCTATCAGAGGAGGGTCAGGGAGCCCCTAAGGCGGAAGCTTCTACAGTAGCAGTAACGGGGGTGACTGCCAGAGCGGATCGCATGGCAACAGTCCTTCTCGATGGAATGGAAGGTGTGCCTCCAGACAAGTTTTATATACTTGGTAGCGGGGCCGTGGAGACGATTATAAACGATGGAGCGGTACTCGATGCTGTGATCGATAACGGCAGTGAGGCTGTCATCATAGACGAGGACCTGGCAGTACAGGTTGGAATGAGCCTCGATAGGTCATACCTATTCGAGATAGAGACGGCTGATGGAAGAAAGCAACATATCACTTGGTTTTGTCACAAGGCAGCCATAGAGGTCCAAGGGGTACGAGTGACCCTGCCTGTTTTTGCAGTCAAGAACTGCAGCTCCGACCTGCTCTTGGGTCGAACGTGGCTGAGCCACGTGCATGCGGTGAGGATAGAGCGACCTGATGGGAGCCAAACATTGTTCATTAGGAAGCCAGACGGGACGCGGGTAATGATTGAGACAGTGGAGCCTCGGGACCCGAGGAACAGAGCAGCTCTCGCTGTGGGTGCAAGACCCAGTGATCAGATTAAGTCATTACCTATCTCCGGCCGCGCGGTGCGATTTCGCGAGAAGAGATATGGACCACTGCTCACAGAGGGAGAAGGTCGGATCGTGGAGGTGGAAGATTTAGGGAGTCGGCTAATAGTGGACGGCAACTCGTACCCAAGGGAAAAAGATGAGGAATTTGGCGGTGTGGTATCCGTGTCTTTCTTAAGGGCACGGACCCCTATGGGGGGCTACCCAAGCGACACAAGCGAGTAGCTCAAAAAGTTAAGCCAGCGGCGGTGGGCCGTGAGCGATCGGCTCTGGAAAGGGTATTTGAAGAAAAAATCGCGAAAGAAATCAAAGAAAGAAAGAAAAAGGAGCCACAGCGCCTAACGGAAGAGAGGATAGCAGGGATGGACATCGGAGATGGAAATCTGACCCCACAGGAGCGAGGACGTGTGATAAAAATTCTGAAGACATGTGATAAGGCAATAGCTTTCAGTGACGCAGAGCGCGGTAGGATTGACCCTCGATACGCTAAGCCAGCGAGGATTCATATGATTCCACATGCTCCTTGGAATGACGCAGGATGGAAATACGCCCAGAAGGATAAGGAATAAGTTATCGCTTTCCTGAAAGAAAAGATGGTTTCCCACGTTGCGGAACCGTCTGATAGCGCTTATGCTAATCGATGGTTCTTCCTACGAAAGCCGAATGGCAAGATTCGATGGATCTAGGACCTTCAGAAGGTCAACGAAGTGACGATACGAGACGTGGGCTCCGTGCCACATGCCGATTTACTGGCAGAAGGCGCAGCAGGTAGGTCGATCTATTCGGTCTGTGATCTGTTCTCAGGCTATGATGAGGTACCGCTTGACCCTAGGGACAGGCACCTCATGGCTATGCATACGCCATTGGGACTAATTCAAATGATGGTTGTCCCTATGGGTTGGACTAATGGGGTAGCCGTTTTTCAGAGAGTCATGGTAGCCGTCCTCAAGGACTTCATTCCTGATAAGGTTGAAGTTTTTCTGGATGACTTTCCTATAAAAGGGCCAGTAGACAGGGATGAGACAGAGGTTGTATCTGGAGTTAGAAGATTCGTCGAGCAGCACCTAACAGATATTTGCACGGTACTCGAGCAGCTGGACGATGCTAATTTAACAGTCAGCAGAACAAAGAGCCGATGGGCCGTTTCGACTATTAAGATCTTGGGTTTTATCTGTGACTCGAGAGGACGCCGAGCAGATCCGGCGAAGTTAGACAAACTTCTGAACTGGCCCTCACCGTTACATAGTCCAACCGAGGTCCGGCAGTTTCTAGGAGTGGTCGGTTACTGGCGTATATTCATACGGGGGTATGCGGAGAAGGCTATGCCATTGAGGTTACTCCTTCGAAAGACTGAAAAATTCTATTGGAATTCTTCGCAGGAACTCGCTATGCAAGAACTTAAAGACGAATTTAAGAAAAGAGGACGCGTGTTGGGTAATGCCATTCTTTGACGATGAGACCGAGAGACCCTTCATAGTATCCACGGATGCTGGACCATGTTCAGTGGGTGGTTTGCTATCTCAGAAGGACGCTGGAGGGAAGGAAAGACCCTTAAGATTTGAGAGTAGGACACTTAATACGGCTGAGCGTAACTACAGTCAATTCAAGAAGGAAGTGTTAGCTGTTCTCCGGTGTCTAGACACGTTCAGACACTATATCTATGGGTGACAGTTCATCTTGAGAGTAGACCCCACCGCGGTTGCCTCTGTCCTCCAGAAGGACTTTAGTCTGACGGACCCGACCATCGCCCGATGGTTAATATGGATTCGGCTATACGATTACACAGTTGAGAGGATATCTGGTACTAAAAATGTCGTGGCAAATGGACTTTCACGCATCCCTCTCGAGCGTCCGATAGTAGCTGGGGCCCTGACAATGGCAGAGCCGAGGCGCGCCGAGAGATTTCTAGTTAATCTTTACGAGGGCAAGTACCGAACAGATTGATAATTATTTCTTTAGCGTTTATACAAAAATCCATACAATAAGATTAAGATTCTTTTCTTTAACTCTAGATCGGACTACACCTAACGGAAAAGGAGAGTCAAGATTCAGATATTTGGAGGCAAGCAGCCCAGTACTGCCTTATAGCAGGCCACCTTTTCCGAAGGCCAGTAGGGTCGGGAATGCCCTTACGAGTAGTCTGTGATCCTGAGGAGAGACAGACGATAGTTGCGGAGCTTCACGACGGGGTAGTCGGAGGACACAGGGGAGTTAAAGGAACCTACGAAAAGATACGCCGGCTGTACAGGTGGGAAGGACAGTATAAGGACGTCGAGAGGTACTGTATGACATGCGAAGAGTGTCAGAAGAGATCTCTTGTGAAATACAAAGAGCCACTTCATCCATCCTATCCGACCAGACCAGGAGAAAAGGTACACATCGATCTAGTGAAAATGCCGAGAGGGGTAGGCAATATGAACTACGTCGTGAACATACGAGACGATTTCACTAGGTTCGTGGACGGTAGACCTATCAGGAGTAAGGCGGCAAAGGAAGTAAAGAACTTTGTCCTAGAGTACTTATCTAGGTATGGTTGTGTCAGCAAGATAGTRATGGACAGAGGRGCGGAATTCCTAGCCGMCGAGGTTCAGAGCGTGTTYAGRAGAGYCGGGGCGAGAGTTTCGATAGCCATCGCCTATCACCCACAGTCGAACTCCCCAGTAGAGAGGGGACACCAGACTCTGATAGCGTCACTGTCCAAGTGGTGCAAGGGTAAGGACAGTGATTGGCCACGATATTTTCGATATGAAATATGGGCGAACAACGTCACGGTCCGGGCTAGTACCGGATACCCACTGTACACCTTGTGGTTTGGGCGATATTGTCCGCTTCCCATAGAGTTTCACGTCGACAGCTGGACAACCGTCGACTGGGCAGAGGAGATGTCCAGAGAGGAACTCTTAGCTGCCCGAACGAGACAAATAGCCTACGGTTTGGATGATGACCTCATGACAGCGGCAGATCGTCTGGTAGTGGAAAGGGACAAGGGTAAAGAGAGATGGGATAAGAACGTGCGAATCAGGAAAGAGAGGGTGAGTGTAGGAGATATGGTCCTTCTCTACGATGCAGTGCTGGAAAAAACCTGGACCGGAAAACTCGCCAACAAATGGATGGGACCTTACAAAGTGGTTGAGGCACGCGACTAGGGTGCATATATGATAGCAGAATTAGACGGATCCAAGTGGAAGGACCCAGTGGCGGGTGCAAGGTTAAAGTTGTTTAGGCCCAGACCCGCGCCCATCTTATCGCTGACGAGCCCGAAAGGGAAAGGGAAAGTCAAAATGGAGGATGGAGCCCCCTTGAGGCAATTCGGGGCAGGGGAGAGTTCCAAGAAAAGGAAAAGAATAGAGAAGAGAAAGGTCAAAGGGTTAGCTTTAGGAAGAGAGAAGAGATGGTTATTCGTGCTCAAGCGAGCTAAACGGAGAGTTCGCGTTAGACGTACTGGCGGGTCGACACCCTTCTCGAGGCAAAGACAGAAGAAAAAGAGGATCGTGCCGGGGCAAAAAACCAGAAGAGACAGGAGAGTCAAGAACCATCCTCTTAGCTCCAGGACTCATAACAAACTGAAACATAAGACAATTGAACGCCAACGTGGGCGACCTTTGCGGGCCATCACCCTGAAGCTCATCCGCTTCGTCTGACGTGAGTTGCTAGGGCTCGACGGGGGTGTCGAGAAGTGGTCCGGGCTAACTGTCAGGCGGCCACAAGCAGTGCGCCGCCTGAAATCTACGGTTTTGGGACTTAGGCGCGAAGACGAGTCTGAGTTTTTACGGTACTCTGGTTAGACCAGGCAGCGGAAATTAGGGGAGCTCAGGGCGCCCTTGATTTTGGGCGCGTTGAACCTTACGGGTAACCTTCAAAGATGGCAAGATGGGTGGTCGCGCTCGGCACATCAACGGACCGTCTTTTCCGGCCGTTCAGAGGGGTAGACCCGGATTGGCCTGCCGCGGAGAGG